TGGGAACAGAAGCTGACCTTCAGGAAGGAGGGCAGGCGCAGGCGGGAGGGGGTGGGAGCTGGTGGACACTCTCTGTTTTGTTTAGAGCAGTGTTTTTTCCAAACTCCTTTTAACAGCAGAGCCTCTTCCTCTTCCTCCGTAGAAGTAGGTTTTTCACGCGGAAGTCAGTGAGGAGATAAAAGCGAGCGTATGAGTGAGGTCCCCTTAAGTGCCGCTGAACTGGAGCTGAGAAACACAACGGGCCCCGAGGCAGCGACAGCTGCGGCCCAGGAGTGCGGAGCAGGCAGTGCCGTGCCTCCCAGGTGCGCCGTCTTTCTGGAGGTCAGAATTCTTAATGTATATGACCCAGAAACCACACTCTGGGAACTTACCAAAGTGCTTGCACAAGTACCTACAGATAATAGGTATAAAGTGTTTGTTGTCACTCCGATTGTCACTCTGATTACAAACATCCGAACACCCATCAACAGCCAAATCATTTAGCAGTCTAATTGTGTATGTGTCAATATGACATCCAGAATGCATTGTTCAGGGGGAAAAGCAAGAATAAGACCATGTGCCCTGCTGGTGTGGCTCAGAGTTGAGCGTTGACCTATGAACCAGGAGGTGATGGTTGATTCCCTGTAGAGGGACTTGATCCCCAGTAGAGGCTTGATTCCCGGTAGAAGGCATACAGGAGGCAGCCCATCAGTGATTCTCTCTCACCATTGATGTTTCTATCTCTTCTCCCTTCCTCTCTGAAACCAATAAAAAAATATTAAAAAAAAAAAAAAAGACTGTGTGTGCAGTATGGTCAAAACAAATAAATTAGGTGTGTATTTGTGTGTGGCTGTATGTTTGAAGCAATCTGGAATAGCATATACACGACTAGCAGAGGTGATCTCCGGACATGGCGTTAGAGGGTGTCTGTCGTTTTAACTCCCTTCAAACACCTGTGACTGTCAAAAACAACCACAAAAGCAAACCCTGGCTTAGAAAGGTGCCAGCTCTGAAGGCAGTGTGGGAGGAGGAGAGGGTGAGGAGGACTGGCCCAGGATGGGGCAGCTAGGCCACTGTGCACGAGGCTTAAGGGGATGAAGTTTTGAGGAGAAAGAAATGGAAGCAGTCAGAGGCCACCTAGAGGTCACCTGGTTGTGCTAGGTTTGGGAGGAGGTTGCTATAGTGATCTGGATTCCTTGAACTTCGAAGCTATCAGTGGGCACACTTTTTAAAAAAATATATATTTTATTGATTTTTCACAGAGAGGAAGGGATTGATTTTTCTCAGAGAGGAAGGGAGAGGAGAGAGAGCCAGAAACGTCAATGAGAGAGAAACATCGACCAGCTTCCTCCTGCACACCCCCTACTGGGGATGTGCCCGCAACCAACGTACATGCCCCTGACCGGAATCGAACCCGGGAACCTTCAGTCCGCCGACCGACGCTCTACTGCTGAGCCAAACTGGTTTCGGCGAGTGGGCATACTTTTGTTCAGTTGCCAGTTTGTATTTTCAAGCCCCAAAGCACCTCTGCTGAAAACCAAAGCTGTGCCTACTTACTAGCACCTGTACTAACCATCTGCCTGTCTCACCACCTGCTCCTGTGGTGCTTGCCCCATGTCTGGTGACACAAATACAATGTGTGTGTCTGCTGCTGGGATCATGCTAAGTATCACCCAGATATGCACAAAAGACTCTCAGGAAGTGGCCTGTCAGTCAAGGTATAGCAGTAATATTTTGTCCATTAGAAAAAGATTTTTCTGAGAGGGAGAAGCGTTGATTGGCTGCCTCCTGCATGTCCCCTGCCAGGGATGGAGCCCGCAAGTCAGGCCTGTGCCCTGACTGGGAATTGAACCGCGACCTCTTGGTGCCTGGGACAACACTCAACCGACTGAGCCACACCATCCAGGGCATTTGTCCACCTTAAAACTACAGTGGGTGGGACCAACGTGCCCTAACCTTGCTCTTTGTATGATTTCTGTGTTTCTCAACCTGGCCTAGTCTCCTATTTCCTCCCTGAAGTTAGATGGTGACTAACGTGCACACAAAGGCGGGCTTTCTGCTTCTGCCCTCGCAGTGGGCTGCTGCTTTTCTCTCGGCTTGTCTTTCACCAACTCTGGCCTCGCAGGCTCCCTCCTGGTTTGAGGCGGTTCCTGAATAGAGTGTTTTTCTCCCGAGGCTCCGTGCTGTTTGCCTCCACAACTAGGGCAGGCCCAGGAGCTGCGGCGTGGCCGGCTCCGCTCCCAGCTGGGCCTTTGTTGTTGTTGTTGACTAAAACAGCAGAAACCCCTCCCAGTTGTGGGGGCCAGGAGTCTGAAGTCGAGATGTCGGTGGGTGGTTGCTTTCCTCAGGCCTCTGCTTGGCTGGCAGGTGCTGTCTCCTGTCCTCACGTGGTCTTTCCTGTGTGTCCAGGGGCTTTTCTGTGGCTCCTTTCCCAGCTAAGGCAGCGGCTGCCAGCGGGGTCCGGAGGGCCAAAGGGTTGGCGACCGCCTACCTACAGGATGTCTCCTTACTGACAGTTCACCAAGGAAAGAATCTCCAGGACAGAACCCTAGAGATTTTTTTCCTTTTTTAGAAATGAGCATCTTAAACATGGTCTACTTTTTATTTTCAGAATTAAAAATTATTTAGGGCCAAGTAATAATGTTTGCTTCCAGACTGGATTGTCATAACTTCCTTCCACATTTTTATTTTATGTATTTTTGTTTGTTTTCACTATGTCCTTCAGATTCTTGTGAGGTTAATCAGTTTTCTTAAAACTATAATTTCAAAACTCACTTGGAACTTAAACCCATAACAATGTGTTAACACATATGCCATTCAAGTATCATGAGTTCAGAAGTCCAGAATGGTGGATCTGAGCTGAGGCCCATCGGAATGAAAACAAAGCATGCTAGGTGGTTCTTTCCAAATGAGGTACAGCCTGAGAATACCCTCCCTAAAAACCGGGAGAAGGCAGGCACCGGTGATTGTGAGCTTAGCTACACTGAGGGCCTCAAACGACAGAAAGAAAGGTTGGCCCTTTGTTTCTTAGAGTAAATGGTTGGTTCTCCACATGTTGTCTCTGAGGTAGAGCTACTGACAGACAGTGAGCTGGCCTGGGGCGTCTCGTTTGCCAGGTATGAGCTGTACCCGATGGATCACCAGGAAAGATAGATATTCTGTTTGCATAAGCAGAGAAATGAGTAATAAATATGAATTAGCACCATCTGGGTTGAAATTTCCCATTAGGGTTAAACATTTATTTTTATTTTTTAAAAAGATCATTTGCTCAGCTTTTTATTTTATTTTTAAGATACATTTTATTGATTTTTTTTTTTTTTTTTTTTTTTTTTTTTTACAGAGAGAAAGGGAGAGACTAGAGAATTAGAAACATCGACCAGCTGCCTCCTGCACACTCCCCACTGGGTATGTGCCCGAAATCAAGGTACATGCCTTTGACCAGAATCGAACCCGGGACCCCTGAATCTGCAGGCTCTACCCATTGAACCACACCCGTTAGGGCAGTGGTCAGCAAACTCATTAGTCAACAGAGCCAAATATCAACACTACAACGATTGAAATTTCTTTTGAGAACCAAATTTTTTAAACTTACTCTAACACCACTTCTTCAAAATAGACTCGCCCAGGCCGTGGTATTTTGTGGAAGAGCCACACTCAAGGGGCCAAAGAGCCACATGTGGCTCTCGAGCCGCAGTTTACCGACCACTGGGTTAGGGCTTGGCTCAGCATTAAAAAAAAACAAAAACAAAAAAAACCCACAAAACTTTTTTTTTTTTAAGATGTGCCTCAATGATTGAGCATCGACCTATGAACCAGGAGATCACGGTTCGATTCCTAATCAGGGCACATGCCCAGGTTGTAGGTTCAATCCTCAATAGGGGATGTGTAGGAGGCAGTTGATTGATGTTTCTATCTCTCTCCCTCTCCCCCCTCTCTCTTCCTTTCTCTCTCAAGTCAATAATAATAACAATAATAATAAACACTAAGAAAATAATAAAGCCTGGCTGGCATGACTCGGTGGTTGAGCACTGACCTATGAACCGGGAGGTTTTCCCATTCAGGGCACAGAGATGGGAAAGAGAGACATTAGTGATGAGAGAGAATTATTGATTGGCTGCCTCCTGCATGCCCCACACTGGGGATCGAACCCATAACCTGGGCATATGTCCTTGACCAGAATCGAAACTAAGACCCTTTAGTCTGCAGTCTGACACACTATCCACTGAGCCAAACCGGCTAGGGCAAAAAAAATTATAAGTGTGTGTATGTGTGTGTGTGTGATGTTTAGGAGCAATTGTTAGGTTGTTTCTTTGATCGTAGGTAAAGGTTTTGTTCTTGTTTTGTGTTTAGGTTAGTGGAGACGGGAGCCTGGACTGCTGGGCACTGCTCATAGCTGAGAGGAAGTGAGACTCTCTGCCTTTACAATGAGCTGGACCCGAAGGCACGGAGTTTCCATACTGGGAGAGAGCTGTGCCTTCCGAAACGTTTCCCATAGTTGCTAAGTGCTATTGATAGCTTTGTGGGAATTAGTTTTATGTTAATAGATGTAAGCATCCAACCGGCAGCTAAAAGTGGCTGGCAGTCTCCGCATTGGCCTGGAAATGGCTGAAATGAGGAGATAGGTAGCATTTCAGCAGAGTTTGCTGCAGTGTCTCACCTGGTATTGGTAATGGTATGTTCCTTTGTGCAGCAGACACTTACAGACTTACTTGGCAAGCCTTCCTTCTTTCAACAGATGCTACTTGAGTGCCACGTGCCCAGGGCCTGGCCCTGGCACAGGAGGCAGACAGTCCTGCCCTCGTGGCTAACAGACGTTAAGCACTCATTTTTCACACGTGCTGTGGGAGGGGCTTTTTCTGAGTAGGTCACAGGCCTGCCCTCTGGTCACAGCCCAGTAAGGGGACAGGCAGAAACCAGGCCTGCCAAAAGGCTTTGTAGAGACAGCAGGCCCGTGGGCGCAGAGGGGAGCCGGGGTGCCTCAGCCTCAGCTGCGAGCTAATGCTTACCCTCTGACCCTGCAGCATGGACAAGGACAGCCCGGACATCCACCATGACCTGAACGCTCTCAAGACCAAGTTCCAGGAGACACGCAAGGTCATCAGCACCATGCCCGGCATCCACCTGAGCCCTGAGCAGCAGCAGCAGCAGCTGCACAGCCTCCGGGGGCAAGTCAGGACCAAGAGCGAGCTCCTGCAGAAGTACAAGAGCCTCTGCATGTTTGAGATCCCCAAGGAGTAGATGAGCCGGCGTCCAGGTGCCCGCAGGCAGCGAGCGCAAGCGGCCGGCGCGTGCCCTGTGCAGTGCGGCTCTCTGGGCCCCAGCTCTGAACTTCATAGCCGACCAGGGTGGAGGCTGTGTGCTTCCTCCGCTGAACTTGACGGTGACGGTGGGGGCGGCGTGGCCGGAGGGCCGCTGTGGGAAGGAGAGTGCTGCCACAGGGGCGGGCCTGCCTGCCTCCCGGGAGGGCCCAGTCCGCTCTGCTTCCGGCCCCCCCCGCCCCACACACATGAGCAGTGTGTGCCGGGGACACCGCGTCCTGTTAGCCGCACCGGTGAAGGAAGGCTGAGACTGTTTCCTTATGTTTGAGCCAGTGAGTGAACTGTCATGGGGGCGGCCCCTGCTGGGTGGCCCCTTGTCCGGGTTCCCTGCCACCTCCATGCCTTTCACTTTTAGCTTTTGCTCCCCGTGTCTCTGTCACCTGCAGGCGTCTCGTTTAGCCATTTAGTGTCCAAGAGTGGCCAAGCCACTAGGCCTCCTGGGGCACAGGCGCGGTGAGCCTCCGGTCCACAGCCGGCCTCTCCCGGCCTCTCAGATCCCGTTAATATAGTTTATTGATTTTTTACAGAGAGGAAGGGAGAGAGACAGAGAGCTAGAAACGTCGATGAGAGAGAAACATCGACCAGCTCCTGGGGATGTGCCCGCAACAATGAACATGCCCTTGACCAGAATCGAACCTGGGACCTTTCAGTCCGCAGACTGATGCTCTACCACTGAGCCAAACCGGCTTCGGCGAAAAGTCTCTCTCTCTCTCTCTCTCTCTCTCTCTCTCTCTCTCTCTCTCTCTCTCTGTCCTCGCTAAGAGCCGCGAACATCACTGCTCTGCAGACAGGTTCATGATGTACTTTCTGTTCCGAAGGCGGCTCTAGGTCACAGCTGTGCCCGTCCCTGGGCCAGGTACAGTTCTGAAGCGGGACGGGGGAGGGGGGGGGGAAGCTACACCCAAAGTTAAACAGCCAAGTTCTGGCCCATAAAATGTTTACAAACACCCTACTTTCCTGCAGGTGGACGTTTTATTTTCATGCTCGTCCCTGGCCTCTGAGAGGACAAAGTGACATTAGTAACCGAATGTTTAAATCTAGAAACGAGTGCGTAACCTGTGCTGACCCATCCTGGGGCTTACCAGCTGCCTGCTGCTGCCCGCGCCCAGGTGGTGAGGGGAGGTATTTTTAGCGGTTCATTCAGCAGACTTGAGCACCTGCCGCGGAGGGCGGTCAGGGCGCTCGGGCTGTGGTGGGGTCGGGTTTCTGGGCTTTGGGCAGAGGAGGCTCTGCATTACCTGTTAGGCTTCTCCTCGGGATTCACTAACTGAGCCAGGCATTCCCGAGCTCTCGGGGTGGTGGGGCCGGTTCCGAGGCTCTGACCAAACACCACGAAACGTGGGCCCTGGAAGCAGCCCGGCTTCCTGCCAGGCGGCTGTCAGCCTCTGGTGTCGGGTCTTCAGGAGGTCATTAAAAGGACTTGCTCTGCTCCCGGACATCTGGTTTGTGCTGAGAGGTTCCTAACAGGGTGCCTCCCCCGCACCTCCCCCAGCTCACACCCGTACCCAGTGGGTGTGTCAGTAGCATCTCCTGGGAGCCCGCGCGGCCAGGCTCCGGTGGCCTGAGGTCGCCCTGCCCGCCCATGATGGGCCCACGGCCGTCCTTCATTCCGTAAAGGGGTTCAGTCCGGGTAGGGAGCGGCCCTCACCAGAGCGACAACAATGAACGCCCCTACAGGCCTGAGCACCCCCTGAAGCCAGTTATTTGGATTATTGGGTGGCAGGCACTTTTTATTTCTTTAAAGATTTTTAAAAATTAGAGAGGGAGAAACTGATGTTCTGCTCTCAGCTCTCAGATGGAATCGCCTCCTGCATGCCCCCCCCCCCCCCCCCCCCCCCCAGGGATCAAGCCTGCAACCTGGGTATGCGCCCGCCCGCAGATTGAAGCGGGAGCTTTTTGGTGTCCAGGATGGGACGACACCCAACCAGCAGCCACAGTGGCTTAAACATCACACTTAATTCTCACAGCAACTCCACGCAAAGGGTGTTGTCTGTGTTTTCCTGGCAAAGAACTCGGGGCTTGGCAGGTGCTGCTGCCCCGCACCCTCACGAGTGGCCCTGACAGTGGCGCCCTCCACTCCTGAGAAGAGGCGGCAGAGAAGCACTAACCTCTCCCCGGGGCGAGCGTGCTCCCTGGATTGGAGCCGGGGGCTGGGTGACCCAGCTGTCCCAGCAGCCACGGGCCAGGCTGCCTCCTCACTGAGAGGCCGGGCCAAGTGAACTCCAGACCTCGGGGGTTTCAGCCGTGCTGACCTGTCCCCTTCCGCTGCACTGAGGATTGGCCAAACAGCTGGGCTGGTCGAGGGGAAGCTAAGCAGGTAAATGGCTGGAAAGATGCATCTCTAGAGAGGACTCTGAATCCTCTCTTTTTGGCCTCGATTTCAAAGGACCCATCCCCAGTGGAAGGCTTCCGCCTAGGCCTCCGGAGCTTTCCGGGAGCCTCTTCCGGGGGAGAGCCGAGGCTGTGCTCAGAACCCGCGCCTTTTCCAGGGCTGGGAGGGGCCTGAACCATGGTAGAAACCCACCCTCCCTCCAACCCTGCCCTCCGGCCATTTCTAAAAGCAAAGAAAGCATGGTTTTCATTTTAAATTATTTTATAGTAAAATAACCACAATCACAGAGACGTCTCACACACAGTATAAACACTGGACGCGGTTTTGTTCGTGTTCACAAGTTTCTCCTTTGTGCAGCTCCACACACATGTAAACAAGACACTTGGCTGGTCTGACCCCGTAGTTTCAGAAGGGGAAAAGCTTTTGCCAGTTGCCATGGCAACCCAGGATCACAGACAAGTAATGCCCTGGTCTCCCTTAACCCTGTGGCGGCAGGACGGGCTTCGCCTCCACACACACCCGGCCCAGTTATCCGTCTCTGAGGAGCCGGGCAAGTTCACCGTTGTTGGGCCTGTGCCCACCAAGTCAGGCGCGGGGGTTGGGGTGGTGGCAGGTGCCAGTGGGCAGCAGACGGGGGAGGGCCCACCCGTGACCCAGTTCGCGTTCCTTCAAAGCAGATGACCTGCCCTCCGTTCTCGCCTCCCAGTCGGTGGGCCTGGCGGGCTCCGGGGGAGGGAAGAGCCAGGACCCTTGGAGCGCAGGGGGCCCGGACGCGGACTGGACTATAAACGGCAGGGTCCCCGCGGGCGGCGGGCCTAGCTGATGACGCAGCGCTCCCGGTGCTTGGCCCGGCCGCCCGCCTGGGCCCGCACGCACAGGAGGTCGCTGTGCACGCTGGGCCGGCGCGCGAAGGGCGCCACGACGCCCAGGGCGCCCCCCGGCCCGGCGCGCGGCTGCCTCCCGGCCCGCAGCGCCTGGTGCAGCGCCTCGCCGTGCGGCGCCGACAGGCGGCGGTGCAGGCCCGGGCTCATCTCCCCGGGCAGCCCGGCCATGGCGAAGAGCGCGCGGAACATGGGCTCCAGGCTGCTGTTCCTCTTGGCCGAGACCTCGAAGTAGGCGCAGCGCGCGGGGCCGGCGCCCAGCAGCCGCCGCACCTCGGCCGGCTGCACCTCGCGGTGCAGGTCGCGGTCGCCCTTGTTGCCGCAGAGGACCAGCGGCACGTCCCGGCGCCCGCCCGGCTTGCTCCTGAGGCAGGACTTGGTGTCCAGGATCTGCTGCCTGAGCCTCTGCGCCTCCTCGAAGGACTCGCGGTTGTCCAGGCTGAACACGAGGATGAAGACGTCTCCTGCGGGCAGAGGGCGCGGCGGTGACGGCTGCCCGGAGCTGACGCTGCCCCCGCCGCCCGCGGGGCCCACGGAGACCCTGCCCTTTCAAGTCCAGTCGCGGCTCCGCGCCCTCCAGGGCTCCCGGACCGGGCCTGCCCCCTCCCGGGCACCCGCACCCCGCTCACCGGTGAGGATGGAGAGGCGCCGCATGGCGGGGAACGGCTGGCGGCCGGCCGTGTCCAGGATGTCCAGCTGGTAGAGCTGGCCGCGGATGGAGTAGAACTTGCGGTGGAAGTCCTCCACGGTGGGCGTGTAGGCGTCCTCGAAGCGGCCCGTGAGGAACCGCGACACGATGGCCGTCTTGCCCACCTTGGAGGAGCCGAGGATGACCAGGCGGGAGCGGTTCCGGGCCGGCACGCTCGGCTCCGCGCGGCTCGGGCGCATCTTCTTGATCGTCGCCGGCAGTGTCATGGGGCGGAGCGGCTGCAGGGCTGCGGCTGGGTCCGGCTGGGCTCCGCGGGCTGTGCCTGGGCCGCTCGGCAGGTCCTGGGCCGTCCGCGCCGCCCGCCTTTAAGTGCAGCCCGACGGCCGCCGCCCCCTGCCCCGCGCGTCACGCCCGCCCCGCCCCGCCCCGCCCCGCCCCGCCCCGCCCGCCGCCGCCGCCTCCTCCCCGCGGGCGGCGAACACCGGGCGCGCCGCCGGCTGCGCTAGCCTGTGGCTGGGGAAGGGCCCCTCCGCTACACGCACACGCGTCCTTTGGCCTCAGTTTCCCCAGAGAACGATGGCGCTCCCGTCACCGCAGCAGCGCCTGGCAGGTGCTTACCGGGCGCCCTACCTCTCAGGCCTGAAAGCAGCCCAGCGCCCGCCCCTGCCGCCCAGGCCGTGCTTGCTCCGGGCCCTCGCCTTGGCCACCAGGGGGCACCACGCGGCACGAGTGGGGACGGGGCTGCAGATTGGGATCTGGGGAGTTGGTCACCGGAAGGTGGTGGGTCTGGTTGATTGTGGACACAGCTCAGAAGGTGGCACTGGTCACGCAGCAGTGACCCCCGAGGCTGCAGGGCTGGGCGGGCGGGGGCAGGACAGATGCGGGGAAGCAGGTTGACCAGTGACCAGGGCGGCTGATGCTGTCACCGGCCCAGAGAGCCCCGGCACAGCCAGCACCGCTTTGCTTTGTCGGATTTGGAGGGATCCAAGGAGGGAGCCATTAGCTGGTGCCACCTCATCCACGTGGGCCAGGGTGCCATGGGCAGTTCTGGGGTGCCAGCCCACACCCCTCAGCTGTTTGCAAGCCTGGGAAGAGGTGCTCAATGATCATCTCTTCCAGACCTTTTGACAAGGGTCCCGGCAAAATCCCACCCTCCCCGGGGTGCCGGTCCTGGGAGGGCCACCTCAGTGAGGTGGCGGGCCAGGATTTGAGCCCACTCTCCCCGGAGATGCAGTGGCTGGGACCCAGTTGGACTTCTCAGATGAGGACTCCGGGTCCCTTCTGGGCATGTCACCCTGCCCCACAGATGCCAGGCTGTTCTCCCAAGGCTGCTGAGATCATTAAGCCCCGTTAAAGCCCCAAAGCCTGTGAGCCTGACCGCCCGCGTCCGGCCGGGCCCTCATGCCCGCAGGGAGCAGCGGAGGGAGGGACACTTGTGAGCTAGGGCTGCTTCATTCCCACCTCTCTTTAAAGACGTCTCCTTACTAAAAACATAACGCCTGCTCATGTCTTTAAAACATCTCAAGTTTCAGAAAGGAACGCAGTGAGAGGAATCGGAAACAAGAGCCCTCGGGCCCACCCCATCGGGAGTGGGCGAACTCCCGGGAGGCTGCCCACCTCAGCGCTGAGGGAGGTCAGCCCAGCGGCGGGACCGCCTGCCCACAGGGCTCTGCGCCGGCCGCTGCCAGCCCCGCCCCGGCTGCGGCAGAGCCCGGTGACCGTGTGGGGCTGGTGATGGTGGCAGGTGATTCTTTCCATGGCAGCAAACAGCATTGAGGCCGAACCTGCCGGTAAATGTGATTTACTTGCGGTCTAGCAGTTTCCCTGCTAAGAGTGGAATGGGAACTTTTTAAAATCTTTGCCCAGCCCTAGCTGGTTTGGCTCAATGGATAGAGCGTTGCCCTGTGGACTGAAGGGTCCGAGGTTTGATTCCAGTCAAGGGCACAGGCCCGGGTTGCGGGCTTGATCCCCAGTGGGGGTGTGCAGGAGGCAGCCAATTGGTATTCTCATTATTGATTTCTCTCTCTCTGAAATAAAAACTTATTTTAAAAGATATTTGACCAAATGTTGGGGCGGGGGGAGCACAGCTGGCCTCCAAGGCAGGCCATTCTGCCACAGCCTGGGGGAGGCCCGGAGGTTGTAGAAGGTCCGTGACAGCTGTGTGTGAGGCACCTGTCAGCAGGGCGTGTGTCTGTGTGCAGGACCTCCGGCGAGCACCCCATGTGCACACACGACCAGTGCTGCTCTGAGCCCGATGTTGGCAGCCTCACCCAGCAGTCTGAGCAGCCTGGAGAGGAGAAGGACCGGAAACACGCCGAGGACCTGAACTCAGGCTCCAGAGGCCCCCAGGGACCCCGGGGGGCGGGGGGAGGGCGGTCTGGCTGCTGGCCGCACGGTGCTCCTGCCGCCACCCTTCGGTGACGGGCGACACCTCCCCTATGATGGGAGACCAGACCAGCTCCATGGCAACCAATCGTCACAGCGCAATTTGGACCCCAGACTGTGGCTTTGGATCCTGGGCGGAGGGACGTGCTGAGATGAGGGAGCTCAGGGGCCGCCTGTTTAACTCAGAGGCTAAGCTCGGGATGGCTCTTGGTTCGCAGGACGTTAGACCCAGCAGCAGCAGCAGGAGGACGGGACTGCTGTGGCCGCTGTTTCACCCCAAAGTGGGGACTCTGGGGAGCACTGGATTGGTCGCCCTGACCTTTTGTTGGCAAAACAGGTCAGGCTTTCCCTTCTGACGAGCTCCCTCTGTCCAGCAGGCTCTCCTCAGCCCCAGCTCGTCCCCGTCTACGGTCCTTCCGAGGGGCAGGCTACCTGGAGGGCCAGGTCCTCCTCAGAGGCTGTGAGTCTGAGAGCAGAGCGGTCTCTCAGGCCCTGAGAGAATCCAGAGGAAGCCAGGGGAGTGCCGGGGGGCGGAGGCCCCAGCACTGCTGAGTGCCTGCTGGAGCGAGCAGGCTCCGCGGGGAGGGGCACCACCGGGCCGGCCTGGGAGGGGCTGCCAGCGGGGCCGCGCCAGGCTCCCTGGCCCAGGTGGTCACGTGCCCACCCGTGGCTACATGAGGCCCGAGAGGCCGGGCAGTGCCAGCAGTAACTGGAGAGGCCACTCCGCTGGAGCCGGGCCAGAGGGGGACTGCGGGGAGTCCTCCCACCTCTCCAGCTCCTCACTCAGAGGGAGGGCGGCCTGGGCTCACAGGCCGACCCCCGTGTCCCCGGGACAAGGCTCCCAGCCTCTCTGAGCCGTGGCCTCCAGCGCTGCCCGCACATCCGGGAGCCAGCCCACAGGAGCTGGCCAGTGCCCTCCCCTGGCCGGCGACCTGCCCTCCAGAGACAGGGGCTCTGGGCCGGAGGGCTCAGGCCCGCGGGTGGGTTGGTGGCCACACCTTTGAACTTTGCTGATAACCTTCAGGTCACCCCATGGAGGGATCTGTCTCTAGGGCCAGCTGGTCTGGCAGCCTGGGGCAGAGAAAACCCCTGGCCTGACCCTGCGGGGCCAGGGGCCCGAGCGGAGACCCTCTTAGCTGGTCCCGGAGCTTTTCCTCATCTCAGGGCCCTGGCACTCGCCACACCACTGCTTACAGCATCCGCCCTCCAATCGCCCTCCGCGCCAACGCGCCGAGGCCTGGCCTGACCCTCACGGCGGACACCGGCCCCTCTTCCCCCGGTGCTTTCTCCGACTTTATTTCCGCACGTTCCACGCTGACCACCCCCCTGGACGGCAGCTCACAGGACCGGGGGAGCGATCGCCCCCCGCCCCGAGGCTGGACGGCTCCCTGCAGGGAAGGAGAGGAGGGGGCTGGGGTCAGGGCCTTTATTGGGGAGTTAAAACATGGCGGCAGTCGGGCGGCTCAGTGGCCGCACAGCAGCAGTCCGAGGGCCCACGGCAGCGGTTTCCAAGGCACTGGAGGCCCCGCCAGCAGCACGGGCAGCAGCGGGCGGGTTCGCCGCCGTGACGCGGGCCGGAGGGGAGGCGCCGGCAGCCGTCAGCGGCTCTTGCGGGCCTGGGAGGCTTTCTGCCGGTAGATCTCAGCGGTGAAGGGCCTGCAGGCGGAGGACAGCCTCCGGTCAGCGGGCCCTGCCCCCCCAGGAGCACGGACAGAGTGAAGGTGCCCTGGGGGCCAGGAGGGCCGGCAGCCGCCTGCCACTGCTTGTCCGGGCCCCCAGCCCCCGGTGCCTTCTCTGAGCTCCAGCCTGCCGCCGTGTCCGTGCGGCCGTGGCCCTGCTGACCTGGCCTGTCCTGGGCATGGGAGCGGTGGCCATGGGAGCGGTGGCCATGGGGACGGTGGCCATGGGGACGGTGGCCATGGGAGCGGTGGCCATGGGAGCGGTGGCCATGGGAGCGGTGGCCATGGGGACGGTGGCCATGGGAGCAGTGACCATGGGGACGGTGGCCATGGGGACGGTGGCCATGGGGAGCGGTGGCCATGGGGACGGTGGCCATGGGAGCGGTGGCCATGGGAACGGTGGCCATGGGGACGGTGGCCATGGGGACGGTGGCCATGGGAGCGGTGGCCATGGGGACGGTGGCCATGGGAACGGTGGCCATGGGAACGGTGGCCATGGGGACAGCCCTGAAGGGGAGGCAAGGCCACCTCGTCCCTCACAGTGATGGCAGACAGTACCCGTCCCACAGACCCTGGCGGCGCCTACTCACTCCTCGTACAGGGTGGCGGCCGCGTAGACGAGGGCCACCACCCCAGTCAGCAGCAGGCCGGCGGGGCTGGCGTGCCTGTAGACAAGATGCGGGCAGTCAGCGGGCAGCCTGGCACCGGTGCCCCTCCCTGCCAGGCTGGGCCCTGCAGCAATGTGTGGAGTGTCTGCCCAGTGTCTGGCTTTCTCTCTTGGACCGGGCACCCGCTGTCCAGGGCCTGACCCGCTGGCCGGAGTGCTGCCATCCGGTCTGGCTCAGGCCCACGTCAGGCTAGAGGGGCCGGACTTTCTGGTCTGGAAGTAGAGCTGGGGTGTGCATGGGGGTCCCAGCTCCTTGTCACTCAAAGCCAGTGCTCATGGGGTGGGGCATGGGAAGGAACATCTCAACCCTGACCTTTCACCCTTGGTGTCTATGGGAACAAGCGGTCTCCAGCGGTTAAACAAAAGCAGACACTGCAGACAGCGGACAGACAAGAACTACTCCGGGGCGGGGCCTGAGACCGCCGTCCCTGCACAGCTGCGGCCTTGACCTTGGCTGAGGCAGGAGGCAGAGTCGGGGCGCACTCCCTCCCTGCACGGCCTCCCTCGGGGGAAGAGTTCTGGTGCTGGGCACGTGCACAGCGGGGCCCCAGAGCCGGAGGCTCCCGCTGCCCGGGGACGGGGGAGGGGCTGGCGGGCGGTAGTCCGTGGGCAGGACTGGCTTGTACATCGTTAAGTGGTTAAAAAAAAGAATGAAAAGAATAATATTTCGTGGCGCCGGATAGAATATGAAATTCGAATGTCAGTGTCCGTGCTGACGCCATCCCTGCTCCCTCACTGCCTGGGGCTGCCTCTCACGGGCAGAGCCTCTCAGGCTTGGGGTCCGCAAGCCTCCCTCCGACCGTGGGGGACGTCCGCCAGCCCCGCTCTCCGTGCTGCCGTCACGGTCAGTCCTCCCCAGACGCGGCCTGCCGGCGCCCGCCTCCCGGGGCCGCAGGGCGGCCGAGCACTCACATGATGGCCCAGCCCAGGTAGTTGGCCGTGCTGCCCCAGTACATGGGGTTGTCCAGGACGTTGAACGGGAACTTGGTCACTCTGGCCTCCTTGAGGATCCCGAAGTAGTCACCTGTGGACAAGGCGGGCCGGACAAGGTCACCTCCTGGCCAGACCCTCACGGAGGGCCGGGTCCCAGGCTGGCGGGGCGCAGGCCGCAGCACGCCGGCCCTGCCACCCTCAGGGCTCGGCGCCGGCCGGAGCCACGGCCTCCTCCCCACAGAGCCCGCGCCTCCGTCCGCAGCAGCGGGGGCCGGCAGGAGGGGAGGCAGGAGGGGTCACCGCTGCCGGGACGGAGGAGCCGGGGGAGGCCTCTTCCGGGGGCAGGAAGCGGCGGCGGCTGGGGCCGCGGCACAGCCTGGGTGCTGGGCTGACTCAGGAAGTGCGTGCCCCCTTCCCAAGAATTCCCACCGCTCCTCACCCTGGCGCCCTCCAGCCAGTCTCACCGCGTGGCTTTCTGTCAGAGCCCACTGCCCGCAGCACCCGGAGCTGCTCACCCTGGTCTGGAGGATGAGCCAGCCACACGGGCCTCCGCCCTCCTGCGGCCTCGCCCTGGCCCTGCCAGGCCACCCCTCGGCGCGGCCTCCTCCCTGGCCTGGGTCTCAGCCCCAGTCCAACCTTCCCAGCCCCTCCCACACCTCCTGCCCCGGAGTGGAGCAGTGCCCGTGTGGCATTTGTGGACGGAGAGATGTGGCCCCACTGGCCTCAGCCCGAGCCATCTGCCTCCTTCCCACCCGCACCTGCCAGACCGGCTCCTGGCTCCCTCCTGGGCTCCCCGCACGGCCCCCCTCGCCCCGGGCTCCCCGCACGGCCCCCCTCGCCCCGGGCTCCCCGCCGCGACCAGGACGGCTACTCAGCCAGGGCCGAGAGCACTCGGCCCTGAGCGCCCGGCAGAGCCCAGGCCGAAGCACCGCACAGAGATGCCCAGACAGAGGGGCACCCATCCACCCAGGCCCCGGACGCCACAGCCTAGTCCCAGCTGGCAGGGGCTGGGGTGGGGGTGGGGGGCCAAGAACCTCTGACGCAGCCCCTCAGGGAGCAGACACCTCTGGGTGCCACGTGCTTGCTGGGAGGGGCTCCCTGAGGGCAGCAGCTGCTCCTGCGTCTTTCCCTGACCCCAGGGCCACCCGTGCCCTGGCAGCTCCCCTGTGGCTCTCCTTCCAGGATCACTGACGTCATGAGGCCTTCCTGCCGAGTCCCCGGCCCCAGAGCTGCAGGCAGAGGGACAGTGGCCCCGTCCCTCGCTCTGCAGCCGGCTCCGGCCCAGCGAGAGGCCAATCCCTGCCTGGCCCGCAGCCACGCGCCGGACGAGACCGGAGGGCCCAGCTCCTGGAGGGCGGGTGCCCGCCGGCCCTCCCTGGGTGCTGAGCGGGCCTCACCCAGGAAGGTCCCGGTGAAGCCCAGGGCGGCGAAGCTGGAGAGCACCAGCACGCTGCCGGCGCCCAGCAGCACCAGGCCGGCCTGGTAGGCCGTGGGCGTGTCCAGGCTGTCCATCCGGGGCTGGTTCCGCATGGCCTGAGTGAACCTGCGGGCAGGGGGCGAGAGAAGGGTCACTGGGTGAAGGCGAGGCTGCCACTCCTTCCCACCGGGCCCCCCAAGTGGCCCCCACAGTAATCAGTCCAAGGGTCTCAGACCCGGTGCTGCTGGGGGCAGGCAGGGGCAGCGGCTGCTGGGGGGTGCGGCCCCGGGACGGGGGGGAGGGGCACGGGGGGGGGGAGGGGGACGGGATCCTGAAGCACCGGCTCCGGCTGCCAGAGGGAGCGGTGCGGGTGGGCCCAGACCTGCCGAGTTTTGGTTTTTGGGAGTCAGAAATCCTGACTGGGTATGAGTGTCCTCATTTTAAAAAATTTAAAAACAGGCGATGAGCTGAAACCGGTTTGGCTCAGTGGATAGAGCGTCGGCTTGCAGACTGAAGGGTCCCAGGTTCGATTCCGGTCAAGGGCATGTACCTTGGTTGCTGGCACATCCCCAGTGGGGAGTGTGCAGGAGGCAGCTGATCGATGTTTCTAACTCTATCCCTCTCTCTTCCTATCTGTAAAAACTCAATAAAATATATTATTAAAAAAATATAAAAATAAAAGCAGGCGATGAATGAAAACTATTTTGGAGTCTGTGCGTCTCAGCAGCCAGATTCAGCCGAAGACCAGCAGTGTGCAAACGCGGATCTTGCCCAGCTAGGACGGGCCGTGGAGGGTGAGCGGGAATGGAAGCTGCGCCCAGGCTGTGCGGTCCTCCCTGGTGGTGGCCGCGGCCGCAGCCCCCGCCCCGTGCACCTTCAGCGCCCCCGGCTGCGGCGCCGAGCCCACAGGGAGTGGATGCCTTGCAGAAGGCAAGTGGGCTGAGCAGAGGGGTGACTGTGCTGGTGAGCCTGAGACTCGGGCTCTCCGGCTGGCTCCCCAGCTGGAAGGCCTGGCTCCGGGTCTGCCTCCTCAGGGAGAGGCACCTCCACAGGAAGGTGTGCAGGAGCAAGAGCACGCCCGTGGCGCACACATCCCCTGCCCACTGCCCTCAGTCACACACATCCCCTGCCCACTGCCCTCAGTCACACACATCCCCTGCCCACTGCCCTCAGTCACAAGAGCAAGACCTCCGCCTACTCCTGGCAGTGCAGTTCACTACCCATTTGTGTATCCTCTATTGGTCTAACCTCATCTACCCACCCATCCATGCATCCAGCCATCTATCCTCCATCAACCCATCCATCAACCCATCCATCCAGCCATCCATCATCCATCCATCCACCTACCCATCCATCCACCCATCTATCCTCTATCCATCCATCCACCCACCCATCCATCCACCCATCTATCCTCTATCCATCCATCCACCCACCCATCCATCCACCCATCTATCCTCTATCCATCCATCCACCTACCCATCCATCCACCCATCTATCCTCTATCCATCCTTCCATCCATCCATCCATATACCCACCCATTCATCCACCCATATATCCTCTATCCACCCATCCATCTATCCTCCATCCATCCATCTATTCTCTTTTCATCCACCCATCTATCCTCTATCCATCCTTCCATCCATCCATCTACCCATCTATTCTCTCTCCATCTATCATCTATCCATCCATCCATCCATCACAAAGTCTCTCTGTTTGCCAGGCTTTTGCAAGCAGAAGAAACGCATCATTTTTGTTTATCCCGCCTGTCAGTTATGTCATCCTGATGCTAAGCTAAATCTGCCTTCCAGGGGCTTCCCTCCAGCTCCTCCCAGAGTAGAGAAGAGGCTGCTTGTCCTTCCCCGGGCGTCTCCTGGCACCTGGCACGCTCCAGGCAGAGGTTTAGGGCACCTGCCTGGACAGGAGGACAGCAACGCCCTCACCTCCTCCCGTCCCCCAGCGCGGAGAAAGGGCTGAGCAAACAGCAAACAGGATCCCAGGCGCAGAGCCTGCCGATGACCTGTCAGACAGGCACACATGTCAGGGCACACCTGGCTCTGGTCACGCTGCCCACACCCCCAGCTCTCCGCCCACCACTGCCCTCGCTCAGCTCCAGCTGCCAGGCTCAGGTCACCCTGCAGTGACAGGTTGATACTCTGCGGCTGCTCAGGGTCACAAACACCCGTTTGTACCAGGTCACCATGCCTGGCCCGCCCCTCTGTGCCCTCACTGGCCTTCTGATAAACCTGCCACCAAGCACCCCTTCTCCCTGCAGACAGCAGCTGAGGCCATGGCGCAGGCTGCTCGGGCACTAGCCTCAGCACCCCCTGCCTGTCCTGTGGGCACCTGGCGGAGTGGGGGCATGGAGAGGGTGTGGGCAAGGCTGTCTGCCCGCCTCAGGGCTGGTCATCTACCGGCCCTGGATCCTTGGCTAGCCCTGCATGAAGGACCACGCCACAGAGAGAGAGAGAGAGAGAGAGAGAGAGAGAGAGAGAGGCAACACTCGCCTCCAAGATCTCATGAGCCAGGATTAACCCCCCTCACCTCTCTGCCACCAGCCCCCACTGGGCTGCTTCCCCTGCCTGGGCTGACTCCTCCCTGCCTGGGCTGACTCCTCCCTGCCTGGGCTGCCTCCCCTGCCTGGGCTACTCCCTTGCCTGGGCTGACTCTTCCCTGCCTGGGCTGCCTCCCCTGCCTGGGCTACTCCCCTGCCTGGGCTGACTCCTCCCTGCCTGGGCTGCCTCCCCTGCCTGGGCTACTCCCTTGCCTGGGCTGACTCTTCCCTGCCTGGGCTGCCTCCCCTGCCTGGGCTACTCCCCTGCCTGGGCTGACTCCTCCCTGCCTGGGCTGCCTCCCCTGCCTGGGCTGCTCCACCTGCCTGGGCTGACTCCCAGGCTGCCAACCTAGGGCAATGAGGCCTGCTGGGTCGGCACCAGCACAGCCACCAGCCTTGAGTCGGTGCACCACGGCCCCCTGACCCAGGCTGAGGGCTCCTGGCACATGCAGGATGGGTGCAGACAGAGCTGGGCACCTGGCCTCAGTGCAGAGCTGGGCACCTGGCCTCAGTGCTTGCCTCTGAAGGAGGGGCAGCACCCCCTCCCGTGTCCCCATGCAGAGCACATGCTGGGAGCGCGGGGCTGTGGGCGGGTGAGCCACGGTGACACAGTGGGACGGATGCCACGCTGGGGCAGGACTGGCCCCAGACAGGGTCCAGAGGCTGGTGAGGCTCAGCTGAGATATGACAGAAGAAATTCACCAGGGGGACGGATGGGTGGAGAGAACATTCCAGAAAAAAACCAGCCAGGCCAGTGGGAAGCTCCTGTATGGCTACAGTCCAGCGTGACCAGATCCGGAGCCAAGGGCACAGCCTGCTCCTGCTCCTGCCCCTCCCCCAGGCTCATCTGCACCAGGCAGCGGGCACCCTCCCGCCGGCGGGCAGCGGGCACCCTCCTGCCGGCGGGCAGTGGGGAGGCAGGCCGGCGGAGGGAGGCGCAGGGCTTAGCCAACAGGACGCCTCATGGCCACGCTCCGGGCGCTCACTGCTGCGGGCCGCCCGCCGCCAGCAGGCTCCCTGTCCCAGGTCAGCCCGGCCTCGGGAGGCAGGGACTGCGCTCAGACCCGGAGCCGGCAGACTAGGCACAGGCATGGAGGGTGCAGGGCTGCTCCCACCCACATCCCCACTACTGAATGGTGCTTGCAGCCCATGGCCCGGGAGCTGCCCGCCCTGGTCTCCCCTCCCCCCTCAGCAGCCCCCCTGCCCCACAGGAGCCCTCCTCTCCCCCAGCAGCCCCCCTCCCCCCCAGCAGCCTCCCTTCCCCCCTCAGCAGCCCCCCCACCTCCAGCCACGGAGGTGCAGCAGCCCAGCGCCACACGGGCGGACGGCAGGCATGCATGGCTCCACACACAGTGGAATCTTATTCGCTTTAAAAAGGAGGAAAGTTGTGTTTTTTTCCAGGCGCTCAGTTTACTCCCCAGCTTTGCTGAGCTGTCACTGCTCTGCCCTGAGGGGAGGTGCGCGGGGGAAGCCCTGGTACACGCGTGTCCTGTGAAATGACCGCCCTCCGCTCCTGCCGCTCGACGCCCCTCCGGCCCGCAGGCCCGGCCACCCCGCAGTCTGGCCCCCGTGGGGCCGAGCGCTCAGTGCGATTCTCACTCAGCGCCGCCCGCACCACCTTCATGCCACTCGCCACCCCAGGGAAGGGACCAGGCTCAGGGCAGGCCCCATCTGACCCTGCTCCCAGGCTGGCCTCCACGCCGCCCCAGGCACCTGCCAAGCCCCTGGCAGCAGCGTCCCCTCCCACAGCTCACCGCCCGGCCTCCGCCGACAGCGGCTGTGTGTGCACCAGCCGAGTCCCAGGCAGGTCACAGGGTCCGATGGCCCAGATGGGGGTGCTGGGTGCGAGGCTGAGAGCAGCGTCCCTAAGCGCTCAGACACAGCCCCTTCCCCCCCCCCCCCCCCCCCACCCGCACCGCCCGGGGCCTTACCAGTGTGAGCGCAGGGCGTTCAGGAGCAGGATGACCCCGCCCAGCGCGTAGCAGGCCACGTAGGGGGAGCCCAGGGCTCCGCTCAGCTTCCGCGTTCTCTGTTCCCATCTGGCCACCTGAGTGGGAGAGAGGAGCGTGAGGTGCTGGGAGGGACCCGGTGCGGGAGAAGGCACAGGGTGCCCACACGGCCGCAGTCCTGCCGGGGGCCACAGCCTGCCGGGAGCAGACTCTGCCAGCTCCTCATGAGCAGGGGGACCGGGCAGCCCAGCGCCCAGCCCCTCCAGGCTGGCCCAGGCCCAGCTCCGACGCGGGCGAGGGGGCAGGGCCGAGCTGCTGAGGACAGATGAGGGTCCCCCAAAGGAAGCAGGCCCAGCCCCGCAGTCCCCTCACCCGTTTCCCCAGCACCTCCACGCAGACTTTCAAGCTTTCAACTTTTCTTGATTAATCCTCAACCAAGGATATTTTTTCTGTTGATTTGTTTTAGAGAGAGTGGAAGGGGTGGGAGGAGGAGGAGAAAGAGAAACATCGATGTGAGAGACACATCCATTACCTCCCAAACTTGCCCGACTATAGCTGGGGATTGAACCTGCAACCCAAGTACATGCCCTTGACAAGGAATCGAACCCAAGACCCTTTGGGGCATGACTGGCACTCTAACCACTGAGTCACCATTTTTATTTTATTTTTAAACCAATCGCATCTATAGTCACCTTCAACAGCAGCAGGGAAACGGGGTGCAGGCAGCTCTCAGACGCCCTGCTGCCTCTGTGGCCAGGCCCCGGGCCCGCATCCAGCACCGCCGCGCCCAGAGGCACACTGGGCAGAGCCAGCAGGAACGGCAGGAGGAGCGCTGAGCGGGCAGGAGACAAGGCCGCACTCGGATTAGGGGCCGGGGCGGGGGGGACCGTCGCCTGGAGCTCCCGTGAACACGGTCACACCGGAGTCTTGAAGGCCGCCAGGGCTCCTGGTTCCTGGGACGCTGCAGGGGGACCAGCCCCGGGCTCGCTCTCCATGTGGCCTCAGCACTGAGTCTGCCTGCTGCCGGCTCCAGGCCGGGCTGCCCATTGGACCACCCTCCGGGCAGCGACTGGCAGCTCAGGCCCACAGAGATTTGGCCCCGAGGCGGCTCCCAGCCTGTCCTCGGGCTTCCTGGGGCCACACCATTTGAAGCCCAACCTCTCTGGGGGGTGGAGGTGGGGTTTGGCAGGACCCTTCCAGCGTCCTGTGATGTCATCCTGTGATGTCATCCAGTGATGTCATCCAGTGATGTCGCAGTGCAGGCCCAGAGCTGCTATCTTTCTGAGGGGCGCACCCACAGCAGGACCCCGAGGTCCAGCACGCGCAGACCCCCCACCGAGCCTCACCGAGCCTCAGTCTGCCCAGGCGTCACCCCGAGAGGCCCCCCCCTGCCCCCAGCACATTTCCTCGACTTTACGCCTGCCTGCCCCCTGGAGAAACTGCCACGGACCCTCCTCGTGGGCGCCGCCCCGGGCCCGGCCCAGCCACGTCCACGCCGAAGCAGCAGCCTCGTTCGTCCTGCGTCCGGGTCCGGCCTCACCTCTCCGCCCGCCTGCCCTCCCGACGGCAGCACCGGCCGCCTGCGCCCTCCCGGCTGCACCTCCTGACTCACTGGCTCCGGCTCAGAACAAGCCTGCTCGCCTCTCCCCACCTTGTGCTCAGAATGTTCCTCTTGTGACCAGGAGGCGTGCGCAGGCAGGAAGTGTCCTTGGAGCTGGACCTACCGCGTGAGGGGCTGGAGGGGTACATGTCATGCCACTTGTGATTCCAGCACACACGGAGGGTGTTCCGGAGCCTGTGTGCCAGGTGGGGGGCGCTCTGCTTTCCTGGACGCTTGGAATTTGTCGGTTAAAACAAGCTCCTCTGCCTGAGAAGCCATTCCTCTCCGGCCAGGCTCCCGCGAAGGCCTGTCTCCCGGGGTGCGCGCCTTCGCCTCCTCTGCCCGGCCCTCTCTCAGTCGGCGCCTGGCCTCCGTGCTCACAGCAGGGCCAGCTCTGCACCACCGTCCTCCTCATGCAGCCTCGGCACTCCCAGGGCCTGCATGCAGCACCGGCTCAGCCGTCAGCATCCAAGTGAGCATGCCCAGTGTCACCTCTGCATTCGCAGCAGCCTGGCAAAGCCACGGGGACAGGAAAGCAGCATCCGGGAGAACAGCATGTGCCACCGGTAGGCATCGCCCTGCTGGCCACCCCACACTGCCTGGTCCAGGCCAGCCCAGCAGCGCTGACACCACGAGGCACAGCCCAGCTGTCCCAGGAGGCAGCCAGGCATCGTGTCTGGGACGTGGGCAGCAGCAGGCTGGGGGCCAGACGGGGGGGCAGGATGGGGTGTAAACAACCGGGAGCATTCCTGACATGTGTCTGCAGGCTGTGAGCAGCATGAGACCTCGTGTGTCTCCCCCCCTTCCCCCCCCCCCCCCCCCCCCCCCGCCAGGCCTCTCCTTCCCAAGGGCAACACGGAGATGCTCCAGCCCCAGGAGGAGGAGCAGGTGGAGGAGCAGGAGGAGCAGGAGATGGAAGAGGAGGAGGAGGAGGAGGAGGAGGAGGATCAGAAGGAGGAGCAGGAGCAACAGGAGGAGGAGGAGGTGGAGGAGGAGCTGTGTCACAGTTGCAGAGTGAACGAGTGGAAATTTACAAACATGCTCAAACTCAATGCAAACCAAGGCCAGCCTGGCTTCCGCGGCTGCAGGGCTGTCTGAGCAGCTACGGAGCAGCTGCCGGATGCCGGGCACTGGATGCTGCAAACAGGCAAGACACGCCTCTCCTCGGGAGGCGGCCGGCAGGGCAGACATGCAGAGGTGATGAAGAACCAGAGCTTGGAGGAAGAACAACTTGGGGGGTGTCCGGAGGCCTCTCTAAGGCCCGAGGGAAGAAGAGGGGGCACCACAGCAAGTGCAGAAAGGAGGGTCCTCGGCGGAGCACCGGGGCCTGCCAAAGCCAGCCTCTGCCAGCCCGGCCATCATCAGACCCTGGGCAGCACGGGGCCGGGGTCCCCGCGACCCCAAAGCCAGGGGTTTGGAAAGGAAGGGGACTGAGCCACCTGAAGGTTCTTTTTCCTCCCAGGCTCGGCGGTCAGCAGGGAAGGGTGCTTTCCCAGAGACACCAGGGACTTGGAGAACCTAACCACACACAGGGGGCGGTGAGTTCTGAGGGGAACAATGCCAAAGCCATGACCCGGAATGGGAGGCGGGGATGGAGGAGCGGAACGAAGAGCTAAGAGCACGAAGGAAACCTGAAACTCACAGCTGCCGAGCAGAGGCACTGACCCAGGCCGAACCCAAAGGAGCCCACGGGGAGCAGGCACACGTCATTCACCCCGAGCCGGCACCGAGCTCCCCAGGGGAGGGAGCCCCCCATCTTCACGGGCCCGAGGCAGCGGCTCAGGCCCCTGCGCTGCACACCAGCCACCCGCAAGGGCTGTGCATGCCGGGGGTGCGGGCAGGAAGGTGGGAGCAGGGCGGAGGGCGCCCCAGTCGGGGTGAGAAAGGGAGCGGGTGTGAGCACTGAGCAGGCCTGGGGATGATCTCCCTGCGCCCTCAAGGGACCCGAGGATCTACTGTTGGTGGCCTCCTTGGACACAGGCCGTGCAGGCAGAGGGAGGCCGTCAGGCAGAGGCACACGGGCCATACACACGCCTAACTCAGCGGTGTTTCTGGTCAGACGCACTGCCCGGCCCTGGGCCACGCCTGTGTGACAACAGCCGTGGCCGTTGGAAAATAAAACTTGATTATGGCATGCTTGGGGCTCCAGGAAAGATGCAGACAACACAGGGTCCTCATGTGCCTCCAGCCCTGCCCTGAGGGCGACGCCCGGACCTGCAGTCAAAAATAGGTGAATGTCCGTCCATTCCCTGGGCAAAAGCAGCTTTTCTGCTGGTCTGAGGACTGGTCAGCTCCAGCCCAGGCGACGGAGGGAGGCATGTGCCCGCACGGCCACACGGTGCCCCACGCAGCCACATGGTACCCCACACAGTGCCCCACACGGCCACATGGTGCCCCACACAGAGCCCCACACAGTACCTCACATGGCCACACAGTGCCCCATACAGTGCCCCACACAGAACCCCACACAGAGCCCACACAGAGCCCCACACTGCCCCACACAGAGCCCCACACAGAGCCCCACACAGAGCCCCACACGGTGCCCCACACGGTGCCCCACACGGTGCCCCACGCGGCCACGCGCTGCCGTGCAGAGCAGCAGGGCAGCGGGTGCGGGAGGGGGCTGCCGGCAGCAGGAGACGCGGTGTCCCGGCTGAAGCCCAGCCCTTCGCAGAGCAGTGTGACTGTCCGAGGCCCCGACAGGAGACAGTGCCCGCACGGGGACTCCTCCCGGGGACAGCTGGGCTCAAACACCGTGCTCTGTGCGAATCCCGTCCCGGAACCCCTGTGGCCTCCGAGGACAGGGACCTGGCGGTCTCCGTCTCCCGGAACAGACAGAGCAGAACAGCACGGCCTGCTGCCGGGCTCCTGGGAGGGGCCTGCACAGCCCTGGCTCTGGGTCTGACTGGGGCAGGGTTAGGGTTCCCATGGCACTCGGGGACCCAGTCTCATGCACAAGCCACACGGGCAGTTCCATTCAGGGATGGGGTCTAGGGCCTCCCTGCCAACTGCCATCAGGCACACCCACCGGTTCTCTGACGGGCAGCCCAGCCCCGGGCAAACTGCATTTGCCACGTGTGCACCTAAGCTCCTAAGCTCAGGGTGTTCACTGTGCGCTGCTCGGAGTAAACGTCTGAAATAAACCAGACACGCATCCGTGGGAGGACGTGGGCTAGTGCCAGGCCAGCCACCCACGGATGGGACGCAGCGGCCGAGGAATGGACGGGACCTCTGCCTGCAGAAGCCACAGACCTCCCAGCCTCTGGCACTGCCGCAGGTCAGCCCGAACGGGGCAGCGCTCTCGCTCACAGCTCGGCAGGCTGGAGGACGGGACGCCATCACTCCCCCCTCCCCATCACCCGCTGCTGCTGGGCACGGACCCCGAGCTGCAGCCGGCCGGTGGCGCTGGGGCCGGGACACGGTGTGGAGTGCGCGGTGCACCCAGAGCCAACACGGAGTGACACTGAGTGTCACTGTCACTGAGAAAACTTCTGGAAA